ATAGAAAGTCAACTGGTTAACAAGTGAGATACTACCAGAGATGCCTCTGATATTTTAAGTCTTCATCTCAATGTCGCAGATATGAGAAGTAGACACCGAAGAACCCATTCAAATCCCTACACGATTCTATGGAAAGGGTGAGAAATGTTAAAAAAAAGTATGAGGCAGTATAGGACCATAGTTGCCAAATTCGTCTCCAGGGGCTGTTAGAGGGAAAACGGCCTCCAGAATACTTTCAAACTGAATGATGAATAAGAATTATTGTAGTAAAGGTTAAGGAAGTTTGAACCACACAGGTCTGTATGAAACTTTTAAATGAATGAACCTCAGCAAAATAATCCCCAGACATAACCCTGAAAAGCCTTCATCTTTTAGTATTTGTAACAGAAATAATAGAACATTGCAGTTTTTATGACAGATTTACACAGCTCGTTTCAAAAAGGGCAGTGATTTTTGTACTTTTTGTGATTATACTTGCTTTGGGTACTTATTGCACCAAAAAGCATTCTTGGTCTACGTTAACTAAAAGTACTTTGGTTAAAGTTTGAAATTTTTTGCTAAATTTTGTCCTGAGTACCATTTTTAACTCCTTGACTAACACCTGTGTTCACTTTGTGATCATTTTGTGTTTTTAAACCTTTTAAATCTCATTACAATTATTGGTAAGACTCACAAATGTGGGCAACCAAATTGTTTGTTCCCCGTTGAGGAGGGAATGCAGTGTGATGACTGTAAAAAGTGGTACCACAAAATGTGTACACGCCTAAGCCCGACGGCATACAAAAGATGCTCGAAGCCTAACTCGCATTGGCTTTGTATGTTCTGCTGTACGGATAAAAAGTTGCTAATTAAGGAGGCTATGGGCCTATTGGCTTTGGTCTGCAGGAAAAACGATAACACATGCGCTGACAACACCGGCACTGGCAGTGACGAATGTGTCAGTGTAGTATCTGCTGTTACGCGACGACTCAGACAACCGACTCTGACCGACGCAAAAGTGAGATCTCCTTTAACATTAACAAGGGGAGTAATACCACCTGGTACTGACATTGATAACGATGCATCTTTAGTGGGAACTGACGAACTGGATAAAACCATCACCGTTCCAAATAGTCCCAATGTCCTGAGGAATGAAAAATGGTACGTAGTTAGTGACTCACTGATGGACTCTCATTGTGAGTCACAAACTTCACTACCAAAATCTGATGGTAAGAGTGAAACCCATCCTGTCGTGACTGAGAAGAAAAATCGAATAACATCTAAAACTAATGACTGTTTACTTGATAAGTCCTTGGTGGACTCTCAGACCAATCCGCCAAAGCTCCAAAGTAAAGCTTCGTCTAACACTGTTGTGAGCCACTCACAGGACTCTGTTACAAAAAAAGCTAATCGTAAAATATCAGCAGTTAATATACAGGATCTATCGTCACGGTCGAAAGCTGTAAACACAGTTTCAAAGGAAGCTAAACCCCTTCCTAGTTTAATTATTTGGAATCTAGAGGAGTCGAAAGACAACGACCCTGCTAGAAGACATGCACATGACCTGCAGTTAGTGGAGTCTGTGGTAAGAAATGTACTACCTGAAGAGGTTTCAGGGGTACATATTACAAAAGTAATACGACTTGGTAAATGGGTTGGAGGCGAGACCCAACCAAGAAGAATCCTGAAGCTGGTTCTCGGGAGTTTCGAAGAAAGAGACATATTATTGAAAAGCGCACAAAAACTCGTGCCTCAAATATCCGTATTCGACCAGATTGGCCGCTTGAGGATCGAATCAAGTGGAAGAATGCTCTTACGGAGTTGAGGACTCGCAAATTAAATGGCGAAAATAACCTTACCATTAAGGGTTTTCGGGTAGTCAGGTCTTGGAAGCCAATGCTTCCGAGGCCTGTATGGGTAGAACGATTGATTTCCAAAACACCTTAAGTGTGTGCTACACGAACGCTCGTAGTCTTAGAAATAAAACGTCCGAGCTAAGTCTGATGGTGCAAGAATTATGTCCCGATATAATCGTTGTTACAGAAACTTGGTTCACCGTTGATATAGACTGTTCTCCTTTCATTGCTGGTTATATCTGTATCAGAAGTGATAGAGTTTCAAGTCGCAAGGGGGAGGTATAATATTATACGTTAGGGATCACTTTCGTATACAATCAACCATATCGGAGGCTCATATCAGTGGCACATGTGAGGTTGCATGTTGTAAGATTAAATCTAGAAATGGGTTAGTGACTATAGGGGGAATATACCGTAGTCCGTCTTGTCTTGCTGACGACTTTATCCTAAGACACATCTGTTCTTGGAGTATGGCAGAATGTTGTCTCATCATTGGGGACTTCAACGCACCGCATATCAACTGGATAGAGCTTACAGCTCCAGGTAGTGGTTTCGATAGCGACCTTTTATCTACCGTTATTCAGTGTGCACTTGTACAATGTATCACAAAACCGACACATATTGATTTGCATCATGATCCGTCACTGCTGGACCTCGCCCTCACCCACCACTCTGAGGATGTCTTTGATATCCAGCACCTTCCCCCACTAGTGAACAGTGATCACGTTGTAATTCACTTTAAGTTTAGGACACATGGTATACAATTCGTATCTGCTCCACCCCGTCCCAATATCTGGCGAGCTAATATTCCGGAAATCAGAAACTGTGCTATCTCGACTGATTGGTCGGTCGACGCGGATGGATTGATCGAAGATGAATGGAATAAGTTTAAGGCTACATTCGAGTCCGTAACGTCGCCGTTTATCCCATGGTCAGCACGTAAGCTATCACATTGCCCTCCATGGATTAATAAGGAAACCCGGAAGCTGTTAAAGCGTAGGAAACATTTCTGGGACTTATTCTTGTTGACAGGTCATGCACCATTTAAGCGTGAGTACCAAAAATACCGTAATATCTGTAAGAAAACCATAGCGAAATCCCGTACCACTTACGAACGACAGTTAGTATATGATAGCCGTACTTGTCCGAAACGATTGTTTTCGTATGTTAAACGGCAAATGAAACGTAGTGATGGTATTCCCCCGTTGCTGTTACACGAAAATTCAGAATTACTAGCTGAATCAGATCGAGCAAAAGCTGAGACTTTTTCAGATTATTTTAGCGAAGTCTTCTCTACGTTTATTGTAACAAATACTTGTCCCACTCACACCGAGATACCAACCATTGAATCTGTACAGGTGACTGAGGAAACTGTCCTTCCGTTGATAACTAACCTCAAACCTGGTAAGATACCGGGCCCTGACGGGTTACATCCACGGTTGCTGTCATCTCTTGCGGACATTATTTCAAAACCGCTTGCGACACTCTTCAACATGTCCCTCTCACTCGCCCAACTCCCTAGAGATTGGAAGGACGCTATAGTTAGTCCTATATTTAAGGACGGTCAGCGACAGATAGTATCTAACTACCGGCCTGTCAGTCTAACTAGCATAGTCGTTAAGTTACTCGAAAAGATAATTCGGGTTAGGTTGCTAAGCCACATAGATTTACACAATCTGTTAGCTCCTGAGCAACACGGATTTCGTAACAAGCGTTCATGCTTGACTAACTTGCTTATTGCGAGGGAGGATTGGACAGCAGCCCTAGATCACGGTCTGTCTGTCGACGTGATATTCATAGATTTTAGCAAAGCGTTTGACAAGGTTTCACACGTAGGTCTTATGCAGAAGCTCACGAGCTTCGGAATAATAGGTACTGTACATGAGTGGATAGGAAATTTCTTATGTGACCGCAGACAGAGAGTTAGGGTCAATGGAACGCTATCCGATTGGAAGCCGGTCAAAAGTGGTGTACCCCAAGGCACCATCTTAGGCCCTCTGCTCTTCCTTCTCTACGTTAATGAGTTACCGCTGTTACTTAGGTCGTCGACATTATTGTTTGCGGATGATGTAAAAATCTGGAGAACAATAAAAAGTGCGGCTGATCATGTGGATCTTCAAGCTGACTTAGACGATTTAGTTAGATGGGCTCGAGAGTGGGGCTTAGAAATCAATGCTAGGAAGAGTGTACTAATGCACATCGGTCACGGTAATAGTTACCGTTACACTATTGAGGGTAAACCTCTTCCATGCGTTCAAGAGCATAAGGACTTAGGAGTAATATTAAGTCATGATTTAAAAACAACTGCGCATTGCAAAGCAGCCGCTGTCAAAGGTTTTCGTGCGTTATGGTCACTTCGCCGAGCGTTCAAATCTTTTGACGAGGAAACGTTTCGAATTTTATATCCCATATATGTTAGACCACATTTAGAGTACTGTATCCAAGCAGCTAGCCCGTGTCTGGTAAAGGATACTAACTCCCTTGAGCGTGTCCAGCGTGTGGGAACGAAATTAGTGAAGGGTCTTTCTAGACTCCCTTACGATGAGCGCTTAAAACGCCTAAATCTTTTCCCCTTGTCGTATCGTAGGACACGAGGTGACCTTATACTGGCATTTCGTATCTTTAATTATGATTTGGGTGTTAATATGTCTTATCTTTTTGCTCCCTCCAGCACTAATAATCTCCGAGGTCATAGCAAGAAGGTTCATAAACCACGATCTAATAAACTTAAAGTGGGATCCCGTTTTTCTCATCGAGTAGTCAATGATTGGAACGCCTTACCCGAACAAGTGGTATCAGCCCCATCAGTGAATACTTTCAAGGAAAAGCTGGACCTTCACTGGAAAGTAGTGTGTCAGGATTAACACAGGTTCATCAACCTACTATCCTTATTACTGAAGACTGAAGACTAGTGCGATTAAACATTAAATGAATACTCTTTCGAAATAAATCGTGTTTGATTATGAACAACCATTAAATATAAGATTCTTTACCATCTCATTGGTTTTCCAATCAAGTTAATGAAAAAATATGACGTCTTTATGAATAGGTTTTATGTTTCAGGGTTGGTTCTTTTCTGTTTGTTTAAGTGCTGCAAACATAGTTAATATGTCTCCACAGTTGAAAAGGTCGTTTCATACTGTATTTTCCTAACCAATACAGTCTATGGCTTTTAAAAAGGTAAAGTGAATGAATAGTTTTTGACTTTCCAGTTGCCGTAGTTCTCATGTGCATACATATTTCGAACCAGTAGTTGCACTAGGAGCTAGTCATATCAGGTTCAACGAACTTGTCATATTACTATATATATTCATTTGTTGAGTAGTTAGTCATTGACTTAATTAACTCCCTATATATTCATCATTAACCACCTGAATCCAGATCTTGAATCTCTCCATTTCTCAAAGTGACTGAAGCAGGTTACGAAATCAAGATCTCATGTTTAAGGTTCACCTAACATGTTTACCATATCGCTTCTTACTGCCTAGTTACTACTACCTTGCTGAAGTCCTTTGGTTTTAGGTGTTAACCTTGTGCCCTGGGGTCAACAAAGGAGAACTAACTACTAGTATTTCAACCACTCACTATGTACCTAATGTCGCGTATATCTTACTAACGTTTCAGCTCCGCTTCTATTTCACTTGGTGTATTTGTACGCTGTTGGTTAAATTTTGACAAGTCCACGTGTTTTCATGGTATGCCTTTCATGTACACATTCCTCAGAAGTATTAGTTGTCGTTTTTATTCCTAAGGAATTGCTTTGTTTAGCCTTGTTTTATTGCTTAGTTTTATTATAAATACAGTTTTTAACGTCGATGCTTGCATGCAAACAATTTTCTGTGTGGTTTACATAAATCACTAGTCTTGTTGAAGTGATTGGTGCACTTCAGTGTTATCGTTGAGAAACTGTAAGACAGTCAATTCGTTGGGTAGATTACAAATAACGTCAATAAAGAACAAAGTGGCCCCTCATATTTTCCCGATATAATACAAACTTCCATTGTTGATGGCGGCCTTAACACTAACTGCAAGTTAGTAAAAAATGCGTTCTTTTAAACTGGGTTTTTAACTAGAACTAGTAAATCCAAAACTATTACAAATGTTTTCAAAACTGGTGTTCATGTTTTCAATCAAAATAGCCTATCATACTGAATGCAATGGTTTTCGCGAACTTTGAAACCCTTGGTGGGACTACGTACATACCGTCTTTTGTGTGTGTCCGGTTTGTAATCACTGAGTAAGGGGCTCAGACCCCATTCTACTTATAGTAGTTATAGTTTTACTTGTTTCAGCAAACTGTTGGGATTGCAAGTAGGACGCAGTGTAAGTATTGGTAATACCTGAGTGCTTGCATCAAAACAGGTTGGAAGCTATGTCTCCGTTAGTATTTTTGGGCAGCAGCTAGATTGGCCTAACCACGTCACAATATTTGTTCTTGGAGCTTTTGTAAGGCTCATTGTTCCCCAGCCGTGAATTGGGATGAAAAGATATACAAATAGTTCATAAAATCGCGTTGTGGAGTGAAGAATATTGGTTTTGTTAGTCTCTTATGGTTTCCTACTACTTTCCGGGAAGTCGTAATAGCTGTGCGACTTGGTAATAATAATCTAGTTGGAATTAGTTAAATTTCAATCGCTGAGAATATTTCAAATATAATTTTCACATATAATGAATAATCTAGTTTTGTTTCTAAATATGGAGTCCCTTCAGGTAGAGGTTGGTGTTACTACCTAAGTGCGTAGATCGAAGTTTGGGGAGTGGAGTGTTTTAATCACCAAGTCAAATTCAGATGAAGCTTCAGTCTATAAGAAGTCAAAGGGAGAAATGCTTGTATCCCGAAGCACGTCCGCAGAAAAAATAATTATAAAAATCAATAACGTCTTTGTAAATGATAACATCATGAAGTAAGAGAATTTACCGAAAGTGACTAAGTTATTCTAGGACTTGGTTAGCTTTATAATACAACCATGCTCTTCACTAAAAACTACTTCACTTCGTAAGGAATGCAGTAAGAACTAGAGTATCATCGTGAGTGGTTTCTATGTACGACCTTAATTCCTCCCAAAATGTGGAGGATAAATAGCGGCATATATAATAGATTCCTCATCACAAAACATTATCCTGGTCGTAGTTATCTTGTAGTGGTGATCGGATTCGGATGTTGTAATGATCCAGTTGAGTTGTATTGGCCGTAAAACTTGTAGTGTTCATATCTGTTCAAAATATTGTGATGAACTAGCCACTTTTGGATTTGTCGGCATCCAGTATCATGGTTCTAAAACAGTGAGCGTTGCAGAAGGCGTTAGAACAAAAATTGATGTGATGAAGCCAGTGAGATTAGTATTTTGAAATGGTCATGCTTCAGATCATTATCTTCGACTTTCTAAGCATGTTTATTACCTAAACAGCCACAATCATGTGTTTGATCGTTTAAATACCTAAAAATTTCGGCTCAGGATAACCAGGTCTCACAGTCATAGACAAAAAACTCGCACCACATCAATGTACATCTTTCAGTCTACGACCCAAATAGTATCACTGCTCCTTTGACAGGGATCAGTCAGTCAGTCAGTAACAACGTAGAACTTCGTACGTACGTACATCAGTTCGAGTTGCCACACCACATTAGCACAGAGGTGCACTTGTCGATTCAAATCCCGTAGTGGTAGAGGTAATAAGAGTATAAGCAGTAATCGGGAAGATTAGGGTTTGGAGATGTTATTTAAAGAGTATAATGCAGTGAAATAATTTGGAAAGAGGAAAAAAGGGACATGAAGAATTCAGAAGATTAGAATTTGGGAGAACACAAAGAGTGGATGCACCTGCGCCATTGAAAACGATTTTGAGCCATGTCATTCAGGGTCTCTAACCATCGGTTGCTGTCATCTCGCGGTCCCCAACCAGGTAGTCTACACCTACCAACATGACTCAGTTCACTTGTCAGTGACTTCATGGACTTGTGCCATGTTTTGGTTTGGCCGCCCCTAGCTTTCTTCCAACCTACTCCTATACCACTGAACATAGCACGTCAAGGCAGTCGGTGGTTGGGCATACGTAACACGTGTCCCAGCCATCTCAACTGATGAAGTTTCACTACTTCATCAATTGATTTGCCATCCTTACCTAGTACCCGTTTCCTAACAACTGTGTTACTTACTCGATGGTCCCATGATATATGAGCAATGTTTCGAAGACACCTATGATCAAATACTAGTAACCTACGGATATCCTCTACTCTTACCGGCCATGTTTCACTCCCATAAAGCAGGACGGAACGAACTGCTGCGCAGTAAACACGTCCTTTGGTTGATAGACGGATATCTCGCCTACGCCATAAATGACGCAAGTTGGCAAAAGCTAGTCGAGCCTTCTGTATCCGTGCTGAGATTTCGTCACACACTAAACCACAAAGGCTGATGAGACTTCCAAGATAAGTGAAGCGGTCGACACACTCAACTACTTCACTCCCTATCACTAGTTCGGGTGTCGATGTAACCCAATCCTGGAGCAACATTTTGCATTTCGAGGGAGAGAATCGCATCCCGAACATGCTTGCATTGTTGCTTAGAGTGGTCAGAAGACTCTGCATTCTGTCAGCGTCTTCACCAAATAAAACTATGACAGGGATCAGCAGAAGAAAAAGCAATGGATTACTACTTGAGACACTTAAGGAGTTGGAGACACGTATACAAAAGTGAAATGATACAGTGACGTATGTAAGCAGGAAAAGTTGATGTATTTGAACCATTTTGACTGGTTTCGAGCTATATGATCTCTATTTATAACATGTATCAATCAAATCAGTCAACTAAGGTTCACTTTATACTATCTGCTGAACATTAGGATTGTTTGGTCAGTGGCTCAGTCAATTGAAGTGTATGCTTCAGTTTCTTGTTAGCATCCTCATGCCTTTTACTTTCAGTAGTGTCACAATCGTAAGTAATAACTACTTGTTGAGCAGGATACTCACCGTTTAATAAGTGTTTGGCTACATTGTCCTAGCCATATTGTTTAATTTGAGCTAAGCAAAGTAGTTCATATGTTTGTCTGCCATCAGCCTGCTAGGGTTAATATGCCTCCCAAAGAATCTAATCGACAGACCCAGCCATTTTCTTTCTTTAAACAGCGATAACATGGACCAGTCTTGAAACATTTCTCATCTGGACATACATGACATAAATTCATGCAGCTCTAATGAAATGATATGAGGAAGGTGTAACAGCTGAAAATAATATAAGGATTGTAAAACACTGAGGAAACAAAATTAGTGGAAACGGGAAAACTTTCCTATAACGTTAACTTAAGAGAATAAAACGACCCGCGTTATATAGCTACTACCGACTTTGGTTTCTGGTCCTATCTATTCTTTTAAATTACCGTCATATGGCGTAGGCGAGGTATTCGCCTGCAAACTAAGGGACGAGTACGCTGCTCAGCAGTTCGCTCTATCTTACCTTATGTACCTAGCCTGTCGTATGCCCTGATGGTGTTCTCGTAACTTTCGGGTTGCCTGATCTGCCAAGGGCAATGGGACAGTGCATGATGCTATTGTTGTGTGCTAGGTTCAAAGAGAACTGTATGCTATATGCATGCAAATCCGCCCCGTTATTGTTGAAAAAAGCCCCCAAATGCCCTGGTATGGCCGAGAGTGAGGTGGGCTCGCCCTCCCTCTCGAAATGCTCTCACACGGCCACGCGTATATAGCCTCTGTCAGGGAAGTCCTACTCACTGCCTTCTCGCAACACGGATGTTGTTTAAGAAATCGGGAGGACGAAAAGCGAATGTCCGGCGCTTTAACCGGATCCCAAACCAATGGTGCACATGGGCTCCAGTATCTTGAGGGGACAAATTGCGTATGAACCAATCGTTGGTCCACGGTTACCATGGGACTGCATCTCCTCACGATGCTCCATTGCCTTGTGGATCAGACCTTTGGGTCAAAGGCTCGGGGAGTGGCCCCCTATGAAAACCACCTGCTTCGGCCTGGGCACCCGGGCAGTATCCCAGCCCTCACAAATCAAATGATTTATGTGGCGCATATCTATTTGATGCCTCCTTGTACTAATGTTTATGTGTTTAAATAAATAACTTTATGTCTGGGAAAAGTGATCTTTAAGAAATAGGACATATTCTTAAGTTACTGGTGTTCGGACGTAGATTTCCTTCAAAGTATTGGTCATATATGCTGGAACCATTGAGTTAGCAATTCTGAGCTTTATTTATTTGAACACAAACATCGGTACATCACATATGCGCCACACAACAATAAAGCCAGTAGCAGTTATCATTGATTTGTGTGAGGGCTGTGATACTGCCCAGACCGAAGGAGGTGGTTTTCTTAGAGGTCCACACCCGGAGCCTTTGGTCTGAAGGTCTGATCCACAGGACAGTAAAACAACGTCAGGAAATGCAGTCACATGGTAGCCGGTGACCAACAATAGGTCCATGCGCTTTTTGTTCCCTCAGGATCCTGGGGCCCATGTGCACCACTGGTTTGGAATCAGGGTTTTCCAACTCCCCTAGGTGAACCCTCCGTGCGTGCCAACTTGGTTAAACCATCGGACAATCGCTTTTCGTCCTTTGAATTTCTTAAACACCCCCGCCTCGAAAAGTCAGTGAGCAGGACCCCCATGGCAGTGGCCGTATACCTGTGGCCATGTGAGAGCATTTCAAGAGGAAAGAACTCTCCCCACCCTCGGACATACCAGGGCACTTGGGAGGTACTAGGTAAGTGATAAATCGTTTGACATGGTAGCAAATATTTATTGACTGAGATGATTAGGATATGTATTTCGTTTACCCATCCACCGACTACCTCGATGCACAATGATTAGTGGAGTAAGTTGAAAGCTAGGGCGGCCAAATTAATACATGACATCAGTTCACAACGAGGCTGATTGTTGAACGGGGTCATGTCGATAGGTGGAGACTATCTAACCGGGATTCGCAGGATTTTCATAAGCCATGATCAAAGACATTAGGTGGCAGTTCAGAATCGTTTGCAATGGTGCAGGTGCATTCACTTTTTTTGTCTTCCCTTAGACCCTAATTATTTTGTGAATTTCTGTTATTCCGCTAATCCAAATTTCCTTCCCTAATTTTATCTTCGATGCCTAATTCTTTCTACCATCACTAATGCCGTTGCTATTTGAAGTACTCTGGGAGTTGCCCTAACAGTTTCATCTCGCTGTACTAATAGAGTGTAGGGTGTGCATAATTGAGTTCCTGACCTGTACTCCTGACGTCTAACATTAATTTTTAGATATATTCTCACCCTAAGAAACAAGATGAGAAAATAGCTCAGGAAAATAAAATAGTACCTTTACAAGGTTATTGGAGTTTGAATGTTCCCAACGTGATACTACCCTTGTAATAGTGTGTATCAAGCTCTTGATAGTTTCCTAAGACCCTAATTCCTTGGTTCTTGGTTTCGATTGAATTGTATGAGTGATTATAATCTCTGTTGTGATTGACATCATTCTTTCACTAATGCCCCTTAGAATACATTTTTTAGGAGGAAGTATGTGTATACTGGTGGCTGCATCATATTCCAATAATTTCACTTATTTAATTTCCTGTTCTCCTGATTTTGCTCCAGGGTACAGTGGGATGAACGGCGATATTTCTCGCATCCCCATTCAGTCTCTGAGTGCCGTAGTTAGTCTAACAGATATAATTCCTGAACTCCCGTTACCTGCTCCACTACATGCTGGATCCAGTGTGGAAACGTTGTTGCATGATTCTAGAATATCAATAGATGCCTTTCAGTGTCTTCGTTTTGGTCATGACCGACTCGTGGGCTGCCTCAGTGAAGCCCTTGGGAGTGTATGTACCAATAACATGTAAGTGTTTTCTCAATAATTTGTATATACCTTTAGCGATTTCAAGGAGGGGTTTGCTAGTGACATAATTGATCCCCATTTACTACCTGAACCCCTTGTCAGCTCTTTGAAAAAGCTACCAAATTTCGAACAAAAACGAGGATTTTATGGTCTTTCTTATGAATCTTTCAATCCAGTTAATAGTGTTTCTAGTGCGCATAAAGTACAACCTGTTTCATGGTGTTCATCTCTGGATCAACCACTATCTTCTGAACTTCATTATCCAAATTGTGAGTTTACGATAACTTTTAAGTCATTTTACTCATACCGCCTCGTTATGACTTGTGTTATGTAATCTTCCATGTGGACAGCAAATGTTTGGTTAAAATAACTGTAGTTTTAAAAACAAGCTATATGTCACTTCCACAGACTTTTGTTTTAATTTACTCTATCATTTTTTAAATTAGTTTCAAACCATAACTTTCTGATATAGGAGAAAAGTATAAAGTGCGAGTATGAAAATATGGGGAAAATGCCATACATTTAAAGATCACAAGTTTTTGTTCTTTGTAACCGGTCTTTGTGTAGTCTGGGAATTAACATCACTGACTATTCCAATTTCACAGATTCCTTGATTATCCATAGGTAGTATCTAACATAAATTTCGAAACCTCTAGTTATGCTAAATATTTTTCGGATTTCGTCTCTAGTTTTATGGTCTACCATTTTTAGATGACGTCAGAGTAAATTTTTGTGATACTTAGTTTATTCATCTAACATTGTATAATGCTAAATGTTCGTTAATAGGATGAAAACTTAGTGCCGTTTGTTGTATAAAATTGCCTCTACATTTATTGGATAATCGCACTTGGGCCTTTGTGTTAGCTTTTAGCACTAATGTTCTTTTTGACTGATCATTTTGGGATTATGCGATGTTCGCGATGAAGGTTGATATAGATCAGAAAGAATGATTTAGGATACAGGTTAACACCAAGACTTGAACCCCCCCCAGACACAATAACTTGTATTTTGTGTATTTTTGTAGTTTGGGTGCAGTTTTCCAAAATATCGAAGGACACCACTCATTTTTTGTACGCGCTATTAAGTCATCAGGTACCTCCTGTCGTTAAGTTATTAAATCTCATGAAGGCCGGTTCAACTGTAACAGTAAATCAGGTATTCAGCCGTCAAATTTTGGTTTAGTCTATACAGATAACGTTATTAACCTTAACTCTCACGAATCATCTGTTTATTAATCCGCATTGTTTGTATTATAGTTTCATTATTTATTTATTTCAGCATATAAAATCTTGTACAATAAGGGACCAAAAATAGGGTGCGTCACAAAATGTATAGGCTATACTGTGAGGAAAAGGAGGCACATTTGAAAAGAAAAAAAGTAAATTTTATGATAGGAAAGACAGTTCCATTAACAATGCAAACGAGACAATTTAAAATTCAGAAGTTTCATTTATGGGAAATGTAAGCGAAAAATATGGCAGGATATGCCTTCGTTTCTGTTCTGAACCACATCTGATAACGCTTCATTTCATTGAATTGCACGACCATTCAAACTGCAATCAGGAATTTGTGGTCCTATACTACTTTATCATTATCATAGTGGGAAGTCATAAACTAACCACCACTTTTTTCAACCACTTCCAGTATCGGCAAATGATGTACGTTGTGGAAGCTGCTGGGATAAAATTTGTAAGATGTGATCGAGCCACTGGAATCTATGTTTCATTTTGGAGAAACCAATTGAGTTATCGTCACTGCACGAGAAAGGGCAGCTGGTCCATATGGATTGGCTCCAGAGGTCTTTAAGGATGGTGGTCCAATTTTAGCGATTAGGTTTACTAATATTTTAGCTAAAATCTGGGAGTTGGACGAAATCCCATCTGACTGGTCACAATCACTTATCGTCCCAATATATAAGAGAGGGTTAAAATCATCCTGTGACAACCATAGAGGGATTAGTTTAACTAATATAGTATCTAAAATACTAGCCTCGATAATTATCGGACGCCTAACTAAGACTCGTGAACTGCAAACACGAGAAAATCAAGTTGACTTCAGACCTGGTAGTGGCTGCATCGACCACATATTCACCATTCGTCAGGTTCTAGAACACAGGCATACTTATCGGCATCCGACAATGGTGGTCTTTCTTGACTTAAAAGCAGCATTTGATTCCGTAGACCGCGAGATCCTATGACAGTGTCTGTCATTGAGAGGCGTGCCTCAGAAGTACATAAACCTTGTGAAGGCTCTTTACTCGAACACTACTAGTCGAGTCAGAGCTTATGGCGAACTGTCATCTGTTTTTGCATCCTCAAGTGGTGTTCGTCAATGCTGTCTACATCCTCCATTTTTGTTTAACTTCATCATAGACCTACTGATGGAAATAACATTCTCGTCGACTGAATTCTCGGGTATTGATCTCCTTCCAGGAGGTCCACTTATCGACTTAGAATACTCAGATGACATAGTCCTGTTTGGTGAAGACGCTGATAAAATGCAGTCTTCTGGTAGTACCTAGCAACAATGCCAGAATGTTTGAAATGCGCTTCTCTCCCTCTAAATGCAAGTTGTTGTTTCAGGACTGGTCTGCGTCAACACCTGAACTAAGGATAGGGAGTGAAGTAGTCGAACGCGTTGACAACTTCACTTATCTTGGACGTCTGATCAACTCCAATAGGTTGGTGTCTGACGAAATCTCAGCACGGATTCGAAAAGCTCGCTTAGCTTTTGCCAACTTACGTCACCTATGGCGAAGGCGAGATATCCGTCTATCAATAAAAGGACGAGTATACTGCGTAGCAGTTCGTTCTGTTCCACTTAACGGCTGCGAAACTTGGCCATTAAGAGTAGAAGATACTCGTTAACTACTAGTATTTGGTCACAGATGCCTTAGAAATATTGCTCGCATCTGCTGAGATCAGTGGGTAAGTAATAGTGAGGTTAGACGCAGGGTATTAGGGGATGATAGTAAATCAGTTGATGAGGTTGTGAATCTTCATCGACTGAGAGGGATGGGCCACGTGTTACGTATGCTTGAACACTGACTACCACGACGTGCAATGCTAACCGGTGTTGGAGATGGTTGGAAGAAAGTTAGAGGCGGCCAAACCAAAACGTGGCATCAGTGCTTGAAGTCACTAACTTCTAGTCTGAGCCATGTTGGTAGATGCAGACTACTTGGTTGGGGTCCGCGTGACTATCGTAACCAATGGTTGGAGACTCTTGGTGACATGACTCAGAATCGATCACAATTGCGTAGGTGTATACACTCTCTGTCTTCCTTTAAACCGTGAGATTAAAATCGCTTCATATCCTTCTTTCTACGAACTAATTCTTTCTTCATGTACTATATCCTTATTGCAATCTTTCTTTTATATACTACCACCTCTGAATTAACTACTTTTATGAATCCGGTGTCCATCTTGTGGTAATGAGGTATAGCAACTTGAACAGACGCATATATGTGCCTGGTCCTACATTGTAGCTGACTGACTAAAATTTACCAGTTGATTTTAGGGTTTAGTTTTTTCGAATCCCCAGATATTATACGCTTCTGAGAACATGTTCCTATGCTCCCGGAATACATAATTTAGTTGGTACATTAACATGCCTTTGTATTAAAGTAACCAACAAAACCCTCATGATTTATGCTCGTTTTCTCTGTTTAGGTTCAAAGCTTTAGATTTCTATGGTAGCGACCGAGCTTTATTGGATCTTGAGGCATATAGATAAGATCACTTCTGTTGACCGTATCCATACAAAATATGTCGGTGACTTCATGACATTTATTTTGGTTTAATTAACTTATGTACGTAGTTTGCTACAAAGTTTTTCAATTAATACACTACGGCTAAAATATATTGCACAATCATATGAATGCATACAGCATCCTATCCTACGAGCTATATTAAAATATTTTTGTTTTCAGCATTTGAAGAACCAATCGAATCTCCCAGTAAAAGAAGAAAAAGCGGAAAAAGAAAAAACACAAGTACTGTGATGATGGCGATACGAGTGGAACAGGAGGCGAATCAAATGCCACTACTCCAGCAGCCTGTGGTGGTACAACTCCAAATAAACTTGAGGATAATTCATTGTCTCCCACTTCAACATATGGTATTGTAAAAGTCAATGCAGATACTAAAAAACTATCATTAAAAATTTTCAAACGGCCTGCGAACGATGGCTCTCAGCCTGTTTTTATGGTTGAGCAACTAGGTAGTGTTGAACCAGTTAAAAAGAAAAAAAAAAGAAGCGGAATAGAGAAAAGGATCGTGAGCATCGATCTCATCACGAAGTTCGATCAAAGTTGGATTCTCACTCTTCTCCAGCGGAAATTCACGTTCAACATAATGAGTTATCTATTGATCTACCAATACAAACACATAATACTCCTACTTCAAATAGCCCCTTGAGTACGGTAACGCCTAATGAAAACTGTAAAAGCTCCGAACTTATCCCTTCGACTTTTGCTGAGAGTTGTCAGTTGTCCATGAAAGATCCTTCCCAACTTGACCTATCGCTCATAGCAAGCGAGGGTTTATTTGAAAACTTGAATTCAATGAATAATTTGTATCAACAACCCCAGTCTGTATCTACATCCAGTCTTCCCAGTACTCCAACTTCTATGTCTGGTAACGGAATGGTAATGACCTCAAGTAATTGTGCTCCTACATGTACGTATAGTTTTGATACTAACCAAGCAAATGTATTCACAACTAAATCAAATATGTTCTATGAGTTGTTGCGTAGTAATGATCCTACTCTGACCCTGAAACATGTTGCAGACGGTTTACCTAGTGATTTTGTAACATCTAATTCATCTGTTTGTACAGCCAACCCTAATACCTTGGGTTCTGTATGCAACATGATGGACTTTGCTTCTAGCTTCCTTCAAAACGAAATGCTTTCATCCAATTCCTCTTGTATTAATTTTCCACTTGGAACTGCTTCTCTAGCTACTTGTGATAGCTCCACTGTCCAAAGGACTGGCTTTCCTGTACAGCCATCTAGTACCACTACTTCCTTTTTGGTTGCTTCGCATTTGATTGATTCTAGTCATTCATCTGTTGTTACTGCTGCAGACTCCACGTTTGATGTTTTGGGCGGTATACTCAATTCTTCTGGTTATGCATCTGTTACAGACGTTAGTCCTGCTGCATTTGCTGCCAATTTCGACATGTCTGGCTTGCCTCCAGATTCCAGTACTCACCATGTCCCCATGGGGCTCGCTAGTTATTTGTCTGCTCCTAATCAAGTTACTAACACTCAAATTCTCAATGACTATCGTACCCAGAATCAACCTGCTCGTGCTGATTCGAATTTGTTATCAACAATTACAAGTACTCCTCAACCGTGGTGGAAACGAAAGAACAATTCCGTGTTAAGAAGACGTAAGTTATCCTTCAGGCTTTATATGTCCATATTAGAGTTTTTTGACAAAGTAAAATTGACAAACGTTTCACGACTTGTCTGTTGATTCAATGTCACGAGGTACGTGACTTTATTTCTGTTATTGTTTTTAAACAAACTATGCATTATTCGTTCTGTAGGTCTTTATTTTTTATTTAGCCAGTTTATTTCCTTTGAAATAGGTAAACGCCGGAAAAATGAACTTGAAGATCTACAGTCTTGGACAGTCAATTATCCGGTTAGTGGACCGGGCTTATCAAAATCTGCCTCTGAACGCAACAAAGGTCCTGATGAAAGAACTTGGGATGATGCAATCGGTTCTTATAGTCAAGTTCTTGGTGAACGTGTTAAAAGACGAAAACGAATGGTTAGACAGGGAGGGAATTTAGATTCAGATTTTGTCTTTGAGCATGATAAAGACTATCCAAAGTAAGTGTGTTTCGTAAAAGTCTGTCGTACTTTAATAATAATCTTTCAGTTATATTGTTCCGGCAATAGTTGTATTTTGGTATCATTTAACACCCAAATAAGAGATTAATAGTAAATAGTGTTCATCAAATCATGTTAACAGGATGTTCTAAATAAAATGTAGTAGTCATTATCACGAAGTATTGTTGCGTCTCAGTAATCTGAATATTGCGTGACCATATTATCTACAGTTGGTATCATCTGTTTTGTTGGTTGTATAGTAGGGAGGCTTAGAGAAAAAATTTGTTATCCATTTGAATCGTGATCATTTAAAATATACTCCAGATGTTAAAATAGTTTTACTGAAAAATTATTCGTAATAAAGGCCTTGTTCCATTTTACTACTGTTTTTGATAGTTCACCCATTAAAGGAATCCCGTACATAGTCCTTACTCTTGGCGAAAAGTCGTTTGTTACGGTTTGTTTGATATGTCAACAGTAAATGTACACTAGGGATAAGTGTGCGTTACTGTTGCTCACCATACTGACCTTAATAGCCAAAAAGGTAAAAAGTCGAAACGATAAGAATTTTTTATTCACTTACCCTTCAATTAAGAGGAATCGTAGTTAAACACGTCTGGATACTGAATTGCCGTTCATCTTTTTCAAACCTACTGTGTGTGAACTTAATGATTACGTTCCAAGTTAACTGTAACTATAGAAAGAAAACGGTATCAATCATTTTTTCTATATTCAAAAACTATTTTTTCGTTTCTCCTGTTTTTAAGTGAGGGAGATAGTGATCGTGGTAGCAATGAACCTAACGGTACAATTGACCTTACAAACGATTCCACCGGAACCAGCGAAACTGCCTACAATATACGCGAAATGCGTTCAGGGGTTGCAAATCGTTCGTATGCTGGTATGGACGAGGAAGACGAGGAAGCGTCGGCAAGTCAAACAGGATGCTCAAATGGCTCTTCAAGTGCTAGAAGACGAAAGAGACTGGATGATGATGAACCTTTTGAAGGTAAATTCATAGTTGTGCATTGTTACTTTCATTTCTATCTATCGAGTGTGACTAAATGTTTCACTACGTTCCCAGTTCGTCTGTTTTCAATTTTATTATTGTTGACATACTTTTCTGAAGTTGTAATGAATTTCGGGAAACCTGAATTCCGTTACGTTTTTAGCCTTGCTGACTTCGTGTTACGAAATTAAGTTGAATACTTTAAGTATTTTCGCTTAAAATTACTGGGTTCTTCATTTTGTCTCTTGGCTAATATTTTTAGTGATAAAGTCTACATTATGTTATTGCTTTACTTACATGGACTTATCACTTTATAGAGCAACTTAAATATCTTTTTTCGTGTTGACTTTCAGTTTGGTTTTTTATTTACAATTATAGTTCGGCTGAAGGAACCCGTTGAAACACGTTTCCCGCATATACGCAAAGCAGGAGAGTCCACGCGTAAACGACGTGAGCGCGTAAATTTCGGAATTACGGCATCAAATAATTTACCCATCCAACGAAATAATTCTAGGGAGCAAAGTGTTGGGGGTGAAACAGGAAGTGTAAAACGATTTATCAACAAGTTGTCAACTGTTCTGGAATCTATTGAGGAAACAGACCTTTTAAGAAGCCTTGGTAGCGTACCGAACAGTGATGATCAACTACGAAAATCTAATTGTGACGATGTGATTTCTTATCTTGATAAAGAGAGCTTATCAACTGAGACTATAATATCGGCTGAAGACTTGGCAGAATTTTGTCGTGATGCTGCTAAGTTAAACTCAATAGGTGTTGCTAATCAAATTCCTACTGGTCAATTACTTAACTTCCTTACATTGTTGTTGCTCAACATACGAGATGGTGCGAATGTGATTGCCGTATTGAGACCTGTAAGTAGTAGATTCTTTCTTAAAGCTCAGAAGTGTTGACCTCATGAGAATCTTATGGTTTGATGTATACCCTATTTTTACGTGATATCTTAGTACAATAATTTAATAGTATTGTATCACCGAACATGAATATTCAACTCATAGTTTCACTAGGAAAGGGGTTGCATATATACCTTGATTCTGCATGTTCTGTTAGTCAAGGTATTTCATGCTGGAAAAGCGATGATGTTTAAACTTTCAAGTCCTGGGATTGTGACTATCAGAATGAAAGTTTTGCATATGATACAAGTTTGGCTAAAAAGATTAGTATGATTTACTGGTCTTTCATGTTGTCGTTTCATATGGCAATTATAATGGGGCTGGTGCTTCATTTTTTAATTAGCAAGTTCCCAGGCCAAATTTTCCGCTATCTCATTCACAGCTTAACTACATAATTCTAATATTATTATGAGTTCTTTTTAAACATTATGCAAGTGCGAATATTTAACAGATGTTTTTTTGTTTGGTTTTTCCATCATTCTATACATGATACTTTTTCTTTACATCGTTCTGGTTTTCTTTATTATGATGAATTATTCCAAAATATTCTCCAAACAAATTTATAGGAAGAAGAAGCTGACTCACACGAAAGCAAACTATGGAAAGAGGTGGCAATGGAGCGAGTAATGCGGAGTATGAATTCCGGTCTAACTGCGCTATTATTAATGACTTCGAGGGATATGCCCAGAGAAGTTTATGTTGAAGATGTTATAGAGCGTACAGTGTATAGTGTCAGGTTTCAATTATTCAATTGCATTTTCCCGGAATTCGATCCTGCTTATCGTGTTGAAAATACAGCTAAAGGTATAGACGTCCTTTAAAATTTAGAATAATCTCTCTTTCATCAATTATGTTTCTTTTCATTTCATTTGGTGAGTCTTAATCCATGTAGCATCGCAAAACAATGTCTACTTTTTGAGTAATGGTAGAAGAATATGAAAAAAAACACATCGCTAACGTATGGAGCTTGATTCATAATATGTGGCGTTGTTGTTCTGTATTTTCTATGCGACGTAGAACCTGACACGTTCACCGGTTCAAGTTGCTACACCACAATAATTCAATGTGATAAGGTTAAGACAAATCTCAGAGAATTGGAAGTAGTGACAGTATCGGTAGCAACAGAAAAGTCAAATATAAAAAAGTGTATAACGAGATTTCGGTACTCAGTTTTTGGAGGAAGACAAGTAATGAATGCAACATTGCTAACGATTTTAAAACATTTCACTAAAAATTTCTCACCGTTGGCTAAGATAATCACATGAACCTAGCAGTCGACATCTACTAAATGGCTCAGCCCAGTTGTCATCGTCTCCAGTGACGTGCCAGGTTTTGTTCTGGTCGACTTTAGCTTTCTTCTAACT